AGCATGTTGGAAAAAGAAAAGAAAGAATAAAAAGTCATGAGTAATGTGTGTTGGGGAGCGTAGAAATGGGCCGAACCGAAATATGTCCCCATTTATATTATGAGTCGTATCATAAAACTTAATTAAATCTACAGCGAACTAAGGAGAAAAGAAACAAAGTTTAAAAAGAACTCTATACAATATCAAATTTACAACGAAACTAATCTCTAATCACAAAGATTGTGGTGTTCTGCAATTAATTATTAGGCCGTCTTATTTCTAATTGGAAACATATAATGCAGTAAATCAGGCTTAGTTTAATCCAATAAACACAGAACCCTAAACAAATAGTGCATTTCATATATAGAAAAGAGAGAAAGACAAACAAGAAAAAACAGAAACACCCTTTCCCGAAAGCAGATGAATGAACGTGCCAAAGAAAATTCGATTCAATTGGTTTCCAGGACGGGACGGGACCTTTCTTTTTTTGGTACGTGCTTTTCACTCAACACTTGGAATCAAAGATACGACTGTTAAAAAAAAAACAGGAAGAGATAATAAAATATATAACAGTTAGAAAATATGCAGCTGCTTTTCTTCAGTTATCTTCAAATGAAACACGATGGAAATGCGAAAAGTGACATTTTTTTTAGAAGCAGGTTGACAAGTACTTTTTTTTAAGAGAATTGCATTATGTAAGTAAACCGATATTTGCACTTGGTAAATAATTGCACAAATTACTTGTCAAGTAGCGAGAGAGGCGTTTTTATTCGCTCCGGAATTTGATTAATTAACATTCCGTGCGCGTCTTTGCGCCGGGGGAATTAATTAATTGAAAAAGAGCAAAACGAGAACCTAAACAATCGATGATTGCGTTTTCGGGTTGGTCGGTCGGTCGGTCAATTTGCATACAGCAAAGTATGCTCGATGCGCAGCGGAATGCAATAACAAAGATGAAAGAAACAAATAATGGTAGGCAAATAAATAAACGACAAAAAAAAATGTGCAAAAAAAGAAAGACTTCCGCAAGTTTCGGTATATGCGGTCAGACTGCAGCAAAAACCGGCAGCTCAACTCGACACGCGTGCCGTCTCTCTTTTCTCAAGTCTAACTTGTCCGAAGAATCAATTTCAGTGCTCAAGAAACTCAAAAAGGAGGGCAGGTGCGAGGAGGAATGCTCGTATGTTCCCGATATTTATTTGGGTCCGGTAGCGTCGAGGGGAGACAATGGTCGCAACGCGCAACAACCCCTTGTGCAATAAAAATAAGGTCGAGAGTGAAGGGGGTTGGTTTGGGTTGGACGGATGTGCGAATATAATAAAAAAAAAATGACATGAAAAAAAGTGTAATAAAGTATATAAACGAGGCGTGGCAACAAAAAGTGACACAGTGATTGTTTGCATGGAGTGGAACGCGGCGGCTTTTGCCCGTCCGTTTCGGTATTTTGATTGCCGACGGAACAAAATAAATAAATGTTAAACAAAAAAGAAGAAAAATAAACATACTGTTTATATTTACCAATTGGTTACCATAACAATTGGTAAGTAGCAGAAACGACTTTTGGTTGTCCCACCAGAAACGACTTTGGTTGTCCCATAATTCAATTGTATTTTATTATAAAATTTAATGGTATCTCTTTCAAACTTAAATAATAACAATTTTAAATATATGAGAATCGTAATAATGAAGAAACTCTTGATCGACTTGGAATAAAAATAAACTAATATTATTGTTACTACTTACTACAAATAAATACTACAGATAGGATAATTGTCATGCATTTAACATAAATAGAGAATGAAAGTTATAGACTAATTGTAAAGGGTATATATTTAAAAAAAAACTAATGTAAGGTAGAATGATGATAAAATCTCAATCAATTATTACAGTTTTTATAGTTTCCAGAATGCATTAGAAAAGCACGAATTTGCATCAAATTTTAAACCCAATCATTATGTGACCATAAAAATTAATTTATACTCGTAACAAAAGGAAGAAGAATGCTTAAAATCCCAATAGTCAAGTCACCTGTAATCCATAAATTATGCAGAAGGAAAAAAAAATCCCTTTTAATTGTGCACGCTTCCAACAAAAAGGAAGGAACTCCTCTCTTCTCAAAAGAATTAAAAGAGAGCCCTAATTCGTTACGAAACCGACCATCAGATAAGGCCTACCCACAATGCCTAATCGAAAACCTATTTACAAAGAGAGAAACATTGAATGCACTTCATCGATCAGCACTTCATAAAAACTTGCGGCTATACAAAAGAAGGGATTTCCCCAATATATATGTATAACTATACTAGCGCACTTTAAAAAAAAAACATCGATTGCGATAAATCACGAATCAGTTTAAAGTATCTACTATGTAATAATAGAAAAAAAAAGGAGCTAGGCTACATATTGATGGTGAAAAGGGTGCAAAAAAAAAGGGATGTTTCATTATCAATGCGAAACGGAAAAAGTAAAAAGGGGATGGTAGTAAAAGTAACTAGTAACTAGAGTTTATTTATTACCCCTCGCGTTCTTTTTTTTTCTCCTCTTTACTACCTTTCAAATTTAAGTTTGCCCTAACGTTGTTTAAAAAAAAAACATACATACACGAAGTGCTTTAATATCCGTGTAGTACCTTTTTTTAAAATTGAAACTACTGCTGTCATTGATCCGAACGAAAATTGAAACCCCGGATTAATTTATAGAAAATCCACCCCTTTTACTGCAAGCAGGAGAAGTAGCAACTTCGGTCGTATTCTTAACCGAAACTACAAAAAAAAGAGGGGGTTCAATTTTAATTGAACATTGGCAATTACAAATTAAAATTATTACAGGGGATTTGTTGAGATTTTGATTTAGAATTGTTTGCATGTTGTTTTCGCAAACGGTTTCCGTGTCAACCGAAGCGTTTCTTAATGGAACGTAATTTGCATAAACCAGTGTGTTTAAAACATTTATTGGAGTATGATGTTGTCGGTGAAAAGAAAAAAAAGGGATTAGGAAAACGGATCCCCACGAGGGCAAGTTTCAATAACGGTTAATTCGCCTTAATGGGTCCTAATTAAAGCGAATTAAATCGCATTAACGTAGAGAGAGAGAGAGAGAAACGCATGGGGGATGATGATGGTGGCGGCGGGTGGCCCCCAAAAATTGCCCGTCCGTGTGAACCGAGTCGAACGCTAATGGATTGTGCATTAAAGCCTGCGGACATAAACTTCCTCTTTACTTACGATCGACGAAGAAAGAACAAATAGAAAGTGACAAAAAAAAAGAGAGTAAATCTGCCACGGGCCAAAATCTGAAATTGAACTTTCCAGCGTGACACAACGGCAGCGCACCCCAGAGAGGTTGTCACCAGGTTAGATTTGACATTCGAAACCCCCTCGAAGTGAACCAACTACGAAATGGAAAAAAAAAAAAACGGTAATTGTGATGAAGAGCAAGACGCGATTTGCATTTTCCAACCCTTTCTCATTTTTTTTTTTGTACACCCGAAACGCGTTTACACGCTTGCCAATCATAATTATCGAAATGTGAATTCAGTAAATCATTTCAGCTGCTGCTCGACGCGAATCAAACGGAAAGACGAGAGAAAAAAAAAACTGACTGGCTCAATCTGAATGACAATGCGAGGATACAAATTATTTTACCGTAAATCACGACCCAATTTCAGATAGAAAAATCATTAATTCGATCTGCATACGATGACAATAGATCTAAGTGTACGTTCGTTTGAACATTGAGTACGTTAACTGAATTTTCTGACAATTTATATGGAAATTGAGCAAAATGTACATTTGCTACAATTCGAAATTACATTATTGTGAATTACAATATCCATATCCAATCAAACAAACATTGTATTGTCACCGGAAAACAAATAATCTGAATAGAGGGTTTGCGTTTGCGTTTGGTCAATGCAGGGAGAGTGAGGGAGAGAGAAGAGAGGACAGAGGTCAGTTCGAATCCGCACCCCAATATACACGTCTAAATCGAGGGCGGAAAACAATCGCCGCTTCAACCCGGGGGCTTCATTATTGACAGGCAATATGATGGTAATTTATGGTCGATGCGAACCATTAATTTCATTGAATGCACATTTCGACCACCGAAAACTGCAATACACAAAGAGACGACAACGACCCTCTTTCTTTTGCTCTCTTCACTCTTCAAAGGCTCGAAAACAACGTGATGACGGTTACATCGTAAATAATGGAAGAACTTAATCCCGTTTTTAATAACGATGTCAAAAGTACATCGATATGACCAAATTGTAAGTACTTACTTACTTACTTACATAACTATTAGTGAAATTAAATGAAATTCCGTTGAATAATTGAAATATATCAGATGGAAGAAAGCGAAGTGCTATTGTTAGCAAAACTTTTATACAGCAGCAAAAGATGCAAAGACGAAGATAAGAGAGATCCGCCCTTTTTAGGCACGCGCCAACCCTTCGCTTCCGGACTTTCCGGATTCCGGCGAATGAAACTCGTTTTGCCACAATCGGGACCTTTCTTTTTTTTCTGCCGCACACTTGATTCTTGCGATAGAACACATTGTTACAAAATGTGCCCTGATGAAATTCGACACTCCGCTTCCGAATTGTTTCATCACCTCCTTTTTTGAGCACGCCCGAAACAAAAAGGTGCTGCGCTTTATCGGATTGTGATGCATACATAATAATCCAAGTAGGTAATAAAACGGACGACCGTAGGTAGATAGGTCTGGATGAAGAAGAATGCAAGGATAGGGATCAAAAAGAGTTGGGAGTGCGATTCGGTGCAATGATAAATTGATCGGAGGACCGAAGCCTTTGTGCTTGTGAAATTATCCAAAAAACCGACTTACAACGGTATTACACATCGCGTACATATATTAAATTATGAAGAGTGAGCGGAGTCTATTGGGGCGCGCAACCCGACACGAACAAAGCGCATCGATTAATCAAAGGATCAAATCCAAAGGGTGCAGCAAATACGCGTATCAACTTCGGCAATAACTCACTGCGACTAGTAACAACTTACGAAACATTGCGGGTTGAAGAGCTGCTGCTACTGTCCACGTACCTGTAACAAAAAGTAAAACTTAATTAGTATAATTACTATTTACTTATGAGCAGATGTTTTCAAACAAAACCTATCGTCCAATCTCGATAATCGATTTAGGAAACAAAGTATTGATAAAACGCACCCTTTGGGAATGCGGAGGTAGTAATAGAATATACACTTTTACACTCTATGATTTTAAACATGCTACTCGGCAAGTGTCACCTATTAAATAACATTGCACATTTAAAAATATAATGGTTTGAAAAACATCGAACGATATACAAAATTCTGGACATAATTGCATTTAAGTTTAAGCACCGTGACTTTGGTATTAAGTGCAAGATGGAAAATAACGGCAAAAAGTAGTAATTTCGCATTTCGAAAATTGGTGATCAATCATCGGGAAAACAAGTACGCCCCGGACGAATGATTTTTCTTTTCTTTTTATAATTCTATTGCCAATCCATCAAAATTGCAGTTCTTCTGCAGCGGCTTTCAATGCGCTACCATTTGAAAAAGAACTGAGAAAAAAAAAATCGTCCCATTGTATGTGATTACGCGTATACATATTATGTAATCCGAATGGCGCGAGGGGAGTAATTTCGTTCTATGCATCTCTTTCTCTCGCATTGCAAAGGGCCACTAAACATCACCCTGTGCACATGCACTAAGCTCATCGATCAGACCCTGTTCCGTTATGTTAATGAACTCCACACTCTCTTCTCATTCATTCATTTTTTTTCTCTCTCTTCTCTTGCACCTACCCAATGCATAATAACCACTATCTGCCCCCAGTTTTGGCATCATTTTTTTGGAGGAATCACTCTGGGGGGTTACCAACAACAACCACGACAATAGCAATAATAGAAGAAAAAAAAAACCGAAAATCCCCAAAAAATCCGACACTTAGCCACCCTCATTACTATTAAATCCGCTTTAGATATTACATTTTTTACCGGTAAATACTGTTTTTTTATTCCTCTCTATTGAATCACCCCAAAAAGAGAAATGTTCTGCACTTTTCAGCCATTACTGGAAGAATGAATAATGCAGATATTTTCACTTCACGATTACTTGCATTTTCAATTTCTCTCTCATATCATATTCAATGTAGCAAATATTTGACTACGTTTTTAATGAATTAAAAATCTCACACATTTTTTGTATGTATATAAATAAATAAAAATAGCAACTTAATTTTGTTTTAAAAGAGAGAGTAAACGGTGTATTGATGATACATATTGTTTGCAATCTCATCGCGACCATTTGCAACCCTCTCTTTGCATCAGGTTGCAAGGTAATTATTCAACAGTTAAGTCGTTTTTCAGCAGGTCACATTGTCATTCATTGTTTGCGATTCGCATGCAAACACGTGCATTGCCGAAAAGTTATCTTGGGAAAGTTCGTTGGCTGGATGGACCCTAGAGAGAGGAGACGAACAAGTGGACAAGCGCGAAAACCAGTTCCGAAAGAGAAAGAACGCACAGATAAAAAAAAAATAATAATCGCGTTATTTTTTTGTGTGAGCGCATCCCATCATATCTTATGCTACTACGAGAAAAATGCTTGTCCACAGCTCATCCCCACAGCATAAATCGAGCAGAAAAATATCGCACAAAGGGCGCATAGTCATAATAATAATAAAAAAAAAACGAACGAAATATGTGGATGGGATAGGAGAGAGAAAAAAGGGTGGAAATCGTTGGGCCAAACGGTGAAATGGGCTGGATTAAATCATAAAATCAGTCACGGGCAATTTTTCGCCAAAAGGTCCCAAAAAAAAAGGGATATAAACACAACAACAACAAAAAAACTGACGAAAGACTAAAAATCAGTTTCGCGACAAATTTTATCACCGGAAAAGCGGATGCGTTCCGCTTCATAAAGAATTTTCGACACCGTTTGTTACATTGTGCTATTTATTGCAATACATATATCCATCCCCCAGACTTAATCTAAAAGTTTGATAAAACTTCCTTTATATTCATATTGTTTACTAAAAGTTATTGTAGATTTCATTTCAAAGCATTCCTGCAAACAACGAGTAAAACCAAATTTTATTCTGTGAACCGACTTGGCATCATAAACTAGATACAAAATGCTCAAGGAAGAAAAAAAAATATCATGAGATGTTTTAATGTCGACAAAGGGATGATTCCCCTTACTAAATGAGATACATTAGTGCTCTATTCTAGGATAGTTTGTTTTCTTAAAATAGTCGAACGCGTGTAATAAATAGTGTGAATAGTTGCTTTCTTTCTGCAGGGGTGAAGAAGTGCATGCGAAAGAATGGACGAGGAGAGATTTGAAAGGGGGGCTCCTTAATGGACGTTCTAATAGATTCATCATTGCGGTAACAACAACAACTATTATCACGGAAAACTACTCTCCTTCTCTAGGGGAAACAACGAAAGAAAGGAGATCTAGGCCTCACCTCGCCTAGCTTTTTGGCGATTGCCCCAAGGGTGCATAGCTTCTTTTAAGGGGTGCCAAAGTGGCTTGTAATAAACAAGTTGTCCTGCTCTCCTTTCTCTGTGATCTCCTAGGAAAGACTCCTTCCTTGCATCTAAACGCAACTATTATATGCCCTATTTTCGGCAGATTAACTCTCCTATTCATCGCAAAGCCATTAGGTTTTTTTTTTGTCATCAAACACGTGTATGTAGAAAGGGTTGCTCCTTACCGAAGAAGAATAAAATAAAGAAAACAACTATTCGCCAATAGATAACAACACGCAAACGAAGGGAGAACTTGTATTCAATGTATTGTGTGCGCAAAACTGTGAGAAAACATTGCTCCAGTTCTATTAAATCTGCGACCAGTATTTGATGAACGAACGAACGTTGCAAATCTCTATAGCGTCGACGACAGATTGTTATACTCCGCCAATCAAGTATACGACTCTATTGTAAAGAATGATCACTTTAATACCATAACTCGATGTAGTTAAGTGTGAGAAAGCAACTAAAACACGATTAAAAACTCATTCCCGGCTGGAAATAAAGTGAGAAGCAGAGTAATTTCTTTACAAGTCGTTTTTTTTTGCTCCTACATTGAGTAGGGCGGCGGCGTGAAAACTTCACTCCACTTCATCCAATTTCCTTCCGACTTTCTTAATGTATTAAAAAAAAAAGTCTTCGTGTTTGCCCTTCGGCGCCGATATTTTCGGCATCTGGTAACAAACACCCAATTACTTAACGACATTTCACGCAGCTCATGCGGCAAAGAAACACGCAATAAACAAACAATAACCAAACATAATTCTAGGGTAGCAACAAGAGGATAATAGAACGAGAACGAGAAATAGGAACGAGCAATAGAAGAACAAGAAAACACGTAAAAAGTGAGGATAATCTCAAGGTTCAGGGGATGGAAAGGTTAAAGTGCGCCCTTTCGGAAATTAATCGCATGATTTAATGGCGACGCCGGTTCGCCCTTCGAAAAATAGACGTTAAATAAAAATAGAAATAAAAAATGGAAGAGAGGCCAACCCTGAACTCCTCCGCTAAACAACCCCAAGCACGCAATTTTTTTTTTCGCCACCTCCGACGCGCTAATTAATTGAACAGCCATGATAAATTACACCGCATCACGATATGGATGTATGCAAGAAGAAAAAAGCAATTACTTACTGTATAAATAATTGCTAAAAGAATGAATAAAGCATGTAAAACATCTTAATTTAATAAAATACGAATAAAAAATATGCTAGAAAAGACACGTTTTTCGATCTTAATTAAATCTTCAATACATTTTGATATTTCGATTGTATAAGTTTTTTGGAAGTGGAGGAGGACGCACACCGAATCCCATTAAAATACATTATAACATATTAAATAACAGCACGCTGGGCAGATTACATAATTAATGGATTAGCGTGAAACGGGAAGCATGAAACGTAACGTAATCAGGAGAAAGACAGAGAGGCAGGCGACAGAACGAAACGCTCATTAGAAATAAATCACGATAATCCGAAAATGGTTATTCAAATTTATGACATGGCCGAACCAGAAACGAAAATAAGAAGAAACAAATAATCCGGGTCGAATGTCACGATTGCGTTAGCAGTAAATGCCAACGAATTATTATTATTATTATCAATCTAATTGCTAAAAGAAGAATTATTTCTATGAAATATAAAAATGATTTAACTTCTTGAATAAATATAATGATTCCGACAATATACAAATGTTCTCATAACAAACCCCAATTAAATAACTATATTTTTATTTCCCCAATTGTAAACTTCCTGAATGAAGCTCAAAAAAAAAACTCGTTAATTAATGAAATACGTAGTTTCTGAAAACGAAAATTAGTTACGCTTACGTGGGCGTCGTGAAATAAAATTAATATTAAAGAAAGAAAAAAAGTACATAAAAGAAACCTATTTAGCGATCCAATTCTCCATTAGTTTCGCAGTCAACACGCACATCCAGACTGTTCACGAAAATAAATTAGAAACTAATGAGTCAGTTATGAAGTGTAAAGATGAATAACAAGAAACAACAACAACAAAAAAGAAAAGAGAGGAAACAACGAAATATGGGAAACCCCCTACAATATAGAAGCATGGCCAACTGTGACGGAATCCCATCACGCGTGGTTCCTTTTGTCTCCTCCCTTCCCCTTGGCGTTCATCATTTTCACTAGAAGCAATTCTTCCGAATTAACAAGAAAAGAAAGAGCGTGGAAAGGAAACATATAAACGTGAAAAACGCTATCACACCACTTGATCGGTAGGCAATTGCACCGGAAAAAAAAGAAGTAATAATTAATCGTTTCTCCTCTTATCGAGTACACGCATCTTTCTTCCTGTCCGTCCGACCGCCTTCAACCTCAATTTAACTCGGTTAAGGGTCTCGCTTTCAGAAATCTGAATACGGAATATTTCACGCATTGCCAGATAGATACAAGACATTTCTAATTGCCCTCTACGGTATATACGGAATAAGCAATTGGAACGTTTCAAATATTATGACTTATCATGTAATTAGTACAGTTGACTTGTACTTTATTAG